GGTTACAAAAGAATTTCTGCAGCACTCAAGGTTCCTAAGAGCACAGTGGCCTCCATAATCCTTAAATGGAAGAAGTTTGGGACGACCAGAACTCTTCCTAGACCTGGCCGTCCAGCCAAACTGAGCAATCGTGGGAGAAAAGCCTTGGTGAGAGAGGTAAAGAAGAACCCAAAGATCACTGTGGCTGAGCTCCAGAGATGCAGTGGGGGGATGGGAGAAAGTTCCACAAAGTCAACTATCACTGCAGCCCTCCACCAGTTGGGGCTTTACGGTCCTCAGTGCAAGACACATGAAAGCCCGCTTAGAGTTTGCCAAAAAACACATGAAGGACTCCCAGATTATGAGAAATGGGATTCTCTGGTCTGATGAGACGAAGATTGAACTTTTTGGCATTCATTCTAAGCGGTATGTGTGGAGAAAACCAGGCACTGCTCATCACCTGCCCAATACAATCCCAACAGTGAAACATGGTGGTGGCAGCATCATGCTGTGGGGGGGGGGTTTCAGCTGCAGGGACAGGACGAATGGTTGCAATTGAAGGAAAGATGAATGCGGCCAAGTACAGAGATATCCTGGAAGAAAACCTCTTCCAGAGTGCTCAGGACCTCAGACCTTCCAACAAGACAATGACCTTAAGCACACAGCTAAAATAACCAAGGAGTGGCTTCGGAACAACTGTTCCGTGACCATTCTTGACTGGCCCAGCCAGAGCCCTGACCTAAACCCAATTGAGCATCTCTGGAGAGACCTGAAAATGGCTGTCCACCAACTTTCACCATCCAACCTGACGGAACTGGTGAGGATCTGCAAGGAAGAATGGCAGAGGATCCCCAAATCCAGGTGTGAAAAACTTGTTGCATCATTCCCAAGAAGACTCATGTACTAGCACAAAAGCGTGCTTCTACTCAATACTGAGTAAAGGGTCTGAATACTTATGACCATGTGATATTTCAGTGACAAATTTAAAGGGGTCTGAATACTTTCCGTACCCACTGTATATATGAGGAGAAGTTGTGTCTGTAATAATATACAACGACTTTACTACATTCATTTTTTATTTTTCACCTCTTCACAGTTCATCATTCTTTGTTGCAATGAACTTAAAACAATGAACTTAAAAGGTGACCCGCAATTTGAACTTCAAAAGAACACATAAAAAAATAGTCCAGCACAACTGACTAAAAACTACAACACACACACAGGCAAATTAAAACAATGCCCACAATTTTATGTGGCAAAATAGACACCCACATACACACTATTAATCCCACAAAAAAGACACATGCACGTACAACTGCATAGGTTAGTAGGATGCTCAGGGGGACGATTTCTAAAAAAAAAAAAAAGGTCGTAAAGAGACAAAAAAAAAGGGATGAAAGTGAAGGGATAAGGAGAGAGGAGAGAAAGATTGGGGGGAGTGAGAGAGGACAATCAAATTGGAAGATGAAACGCAATGTAAGAGCATTAGCTCAGCTGAATAATTGAATAATTTAAGGTCCTGTGCGCACGCACACACAAAAACAAAATACCTCATGTCCATACAGGTTGTCTCACAGAAACAATCATTAATAAATAGGAACCAAAATAAAATCAGAATATAGCCATGCGTTAGCTTTACAATTGCTACAAAAACTCAACACATCTAAAAAACCAATTCAAGAAACTACTTGTACTTGTTCTCCCAGTACACAGCACCATCTCTTTGTATGCATCCGTCTCCCAGACGCAAATTTATAATTTGCACACCTTATGGAGAGAACAAAACGGAAAAGGAAATTCCAGTTTGCAAACTGAAACCTGATTGAAACCTAAATGTTTTTTACTCTCATTTGGTTTTGTTTCCATTCCCTTTCTGTGTAAATAATGTCCATTCAAAGTGCAGTTTTCTGCTTTCTGCAACCAAATATGCTTCTCTTCAAACGCTGCTGCTTAACAATAACAATGCAGTCTATTATTAAAACTATGAACCAACAGCGCAAGTGGACATTTAATACTTCATCCTAACATTATATCATAGCACAATATATTATGTGTGTAACCAAGGAAGCTGAAAAACCTGTTAGCTTGTGTTTATCCAGACACGTACATTCTACATTTCACTTGTAAGTTGAAAGTTTGAATTTTGAATCAGCAAATATTTTATTATATGGTCTATATTTGTTTAACCCATCACCAAAGTGGACAGTGGGCAGCTTTAAGCGCCCAGGGAGCAGTGTGTGGGCATAGTGCCATGCACCTCAGTGGTAACTTGGCAGCTGGTGGATTCGAACCTGAACCTTCCAGACCCAAGTCCGCTTCCTTAACCACTATGCCACCATGGTAAAAGAGAAACAAGGAGACACGTCGTGATTTAAGAATAATCGACCGATATTAGGATATAGTTCTGCTAATAAAAGAATGTTATTAACGTGACCATGATTTCAATCTATGTTCAAAATATGACATCAAGTGTATTGTAACATGAATAACATTCTGACCAGACTTTTTTTATATATATAATCACACAAATAGACAGCAGTGTCTACCTTGGAGGCAGTTCATGTTGCATTGCACTTGTAATTACTTTTTGCAGAGGTTTCAAAGGTGAAAAGCACAGGCTAAAAGCTTGCTTCGTTAGGATTTGTCTTGAGCTGCATTGACAACCAACAAACAGCTTAGTCTATTTATTATGACACCTCTAACTACCATTTTTACAACAAAGCTTTACATTGAAATGAATCCGAGTTCACCTTTAGATCACATCCTAGTAGGTTACTTTACATCGGATATAGTACGACTAATGCTACCCTGCTGTGAAAACCTAAAGACAGGAAGTACATCCTTTAGACGCAGACACATTTACGTTGCAGAAAGGAAGTGAGGAATCAGAGTAGAAAAAAAAGGGAGGGCAGGTTGGTTGAACCTCTCAACTGGTCACTGTGGTTGATCCAGTTTCCTGCAATCCTGACTGCAGAAAGTTTCAAAAACCACAACCTCACACTGTCAGGTAGCTTGTTTAAATGCTGATCAAATGAACAAAGGTTTCAAGTTAAGGAGAAGTGGTACCTGCAGTTTGCCATCATGGTTAACCATATGTGAGCATACAGAGCTAGAGATTGCGGATTTAGGTTCATTACAAGTGTTGTTAGAAGGCCTGTATAGACGCCACAGCAGTGTGCACCTTTAAAACAAATGCAGTCATCTTCAGAGGACAAAAAAACAATCCAGCTGTATAAAAGTATGTAACAGGTGCTAAAGTGGCAAACATATTTTTATTGTTGTTGAGTCAGGTTTAACTCTAAGCTTTTTACCCATCAGGTGTAAAGACACATTTAACTTGTGATTTTGTATCAGCGCTTAAAACAAGAAGCTGCTTAAAACAAAACAAAATCCGCCACCCAAGTTATTCCCATGGTTTTTAATCCCTGTTATTGGTCTCAGAGTCCGATAGCTGGTCAAGAAGATCAGGATTCTTCTGAACTTCACTACTTTGCTCAGTTTCAGGTTCAGCGTCTTCATCGGTGCTCTCTGCGCTGTAGTCCACTGCCTCCAGAAAGGACGGCTCATCTTCCTCCAACACGTAGGTAGAGGAGCTGCTGGACAACAGTAAAAAATTGCTTTAACTTAATTATGTGCACATCTTTCTTAATCACTGGCTTGAGTAAAACATTGAACTAAATTAAACTATTTCCAATCCCATTTAAAGGTATGTTCACAGTTATAGGTGATGCATCTGTCTGTTTGGAGGTGGGATGCTGTCGACAACATGAGTGAACATTGCCAACATTCACCCAGCTGCAAAATCAAATAGTTGACTTCAGTCATGTGTTTGGAATATGTTATTTAGTTAGCACCAGCAGGTCTCTTAGCTGCTGTACCTTACAAGAACTACATCAAAAAGTGTTATATATGTAAGCCACACACACACACACACACACACACACACACACACACACACACACACACACACACACACACACACACATATAC